AGACCCATGACGCATCAACTGACAAAGTTTGATGATTCTAGCCAATAAGTACCCAAAATATTTAATTACAGCCATAAATTTTCAAAAGTAGGTCACAGTGACCTACTTTTCAGTCAACCTACTCCAAGGACCAAAGATGCATCAACTGACAAATTTTGACGATTCTAAGCCAAATAATTCCTGAAAATATTAAATACAGCCATAAAATTTCAAAAGTAGGTCACCATGACCTACTTTTCAGTTGTTGTACTCCGAGGACCCAAGACGAATCAACTTACAAAGTTTAATGATTGTAAGCCAATTAGTACCCGAAATATTTGATTAAAGCCATAAATTTTCAAAAGTAGGTCACTGTGACCTATTTTTCAGTTGTTGTACTCCGAGGACCCATGACGCATAAACTGACAAAGTTTTATGATTCTAAGCCCATTAGTACCCGAAATATTTTATTAAAGCCATAAATTTTCTGAAAGTAGGTCACGGTGACCTACTTTTTAGTCGACCTACTCCAAAGACCCATGACGCATCAACTGACAAAGTTTGATGATTCTAAGCCAATTAGTACCCGAAATATTTAATTAAAGCCATAAATTTTCAAAAGTAGGTCACGGTGACCTACTTTTTATTCGACATACTCCGAAGACCCAAGATGCATCAACTGACAAAGTTTGATGATTCTAAGCCAATTTTTCCTGAAATATTTAATTATAGTCATATAAATTGAAAAGTAGGTCACGGTGACCTAATTTTCAGTTGACCTTTTTTGAGGACCCAAGATGCATCAACTTACAAAGTTTTATGATCATAGGACTTAAAATGTCCAAATTATGCCTCTAAAATGCTTTGAAATCGAATGCCTGCAAAGTTCAAAAAGTTGGTCACTGTGACATACTTTTTAATAAATATGTTTTATGGCCCCAAGATGCATCATCTTACAAGATTTAATGATTCTAAGCCTCCCCGTATTCGAATTAATGACCTTAATTGTTTTAAAAATGATTAGCCATAAAATTCAAAAAGTAGGTCAAGGTGACCTACTTTTTAGTTGACGTACTTTGAGGACCCAAGATGCATCAACTGACAAAGTTTGATGATCATAGGCCTTAAATTGTCCAAAATATGCCTCTAAATCATTTTGAAAAAGAATGGCCACAAAATTTAAAAAGTAGGTCACCATGACCTACTTTTGAGTCAACATGATATGAGGTCTTAGATGCACCAACTGACAAGATTTGATGATCCTAGTCCTTATAGTAAACAAAATATCAACATTTTAATAAAAGTGAAGTGACCTTGAGACCACGCCCTTTGCCCCAGGGTAAATCCCCGTGCAAATTTTAATCTACAACATATCCTCATCCTTTTGTGTAAGTTTGGTGATAATCTGCCCAGTGGTTCTTGAGAAGAAGATTTTTTAGCAACCAGTACTTTTTTTCTATTTTCCTAATTATCTCCCCTTGTTAAAGGGTCACAACCCCAGTTTTAGTATAAAAGGGAGCCCTTGGGCCAAGGATACCCTGTGACAAATTTGACAATAATTGGCCAAGGGGTTCTTGAGTTATGGCCCATATTCTAAAAAGTTTACGCACACCGCACAAATGGCCATAGCATTAGCTCTTTGAGCCTTTGGCTCAGAAGAGCTAAAAAGGGAGAGGGAAAATCATGTTAAACCAAAAAAAGGAGAAAAAATAACAGTGAAAAAAAAATTTAGGGTATAAACATAAGCTACAATCTCTAAGAAACAACCAACAGTAATGGAAAACAAACATTAGACATCTATGGGTAATTTTTTTAAGACCCCCCTAACTATATCCATGTATTCACACAGTTTTACTATAATAAGCATTATGATTATGTTTATGTTAAGTAACTAATAATCTAATATTTGAAAAAGATGCATATTTATAAACCAAGACCAAAGTACATGTACCTGTAAATAACATCACCATGATTATGTTAGAAAATTTTACATTGTTGGCCTATTTATCGACATTATTGTGTAAAGCAACACTGCATGCCTGGATTCTAAAAATAAATTTAGCCACACTAGCTGCAGTGGTCAGTGTTATGGAGTAATTTGGCCAATGGTTCACACTGCAAACCTGGATTCTAAAAATATATATATTTTTCAGGCACACTAGCTGCAGTAAATGAGTAAATAATCTAGGTCAATGATAAATAAACTTAAGATGGGAAGATTATATCTGCCTAACTAATAGCACAAATATATTCATACGCAGTAATTGTAAATTGTACAGATATTTAATTGAATTTTTCTTGAAATAACAAAAAAGACATACATAATGTAACAATATGAAATTTTACACTGTTTATACATCTTAAGTTTATGCAATCACTCAAACAAAAGCATTTTTTGCTAGAACTATCACATTTAGCGTATGAATCACCTTGATGAATGAGTGATAAATTTTACAGCTGTGTTAACAAGGAGTAGCTCGCGCGAGCCGACTCAAAAATAGTTGCTTATATCAGTAAATATTTGTTCAAATTATTATCTTGGAGTTCATGTGTGTTTATTAAATCCCTTCATTTGGATATAAAATCAATTTATACAAAAATCCTGTGAAATTTAAGAAAATAAAACAAAAACTTCATATCAATTCCCAATATGAGTAAACTTAAAATTGTTAGAACAAAATAATACATGTCATAATTACATGTAATTATTATTTTGATAACAAATATAGTCCAAGACCATCTAAAGACCAAGAATGACTTTAATTTAGCATCTAAGAAGGATGAATTTCATGTGAGCACTGGGGCTACGGACTATTACACCTTTAAACATCTCTATTGTGGACAATCAACTTAAAGAAAATATTATTGTATAATTAAATCTTGGGCATTTATTTATACAATTAGTATATAATTTATGATCATATGGTGTAATTCATCAAAAATTACAAAACATGTTTGACCATTAGAAGTAAAAAAAACATAATTATAGTACAATATTTATCCATAAAGAATCAATGCATTTTTTTATTTTGAATTAACATGATTAACAAGAATGATTTCTCTATAATAAAGTATATTTATTTTAAAATGTTTCATTCAACAACATTTTAATTAAATCATTTTTTAAAATGTACAAAATAAGTGCATCAGCATAACGCTTCAAAAATTATGAATCTTTGACTTATTTCTGTTGTTTTTATTTTCTAAAGATGCAGATACTATATATAAGATATCATATATCAATGGAAAGCTCTCATTTTGCTCTCTGCCATGCAACAAAATACATTTAGATTAAATGTTATGTACTATAAAGAGAAGACAGGGAGCACACAGCGTGTGTGACCATTCCGCAGGGGATTCTCTCTCCTCCATGGCATCTGATCCCACCTCTGATGTTTTGGAGGTCCGTGTTATGATTTGAACAAAATTGAATCTACACTAACTAAAGATGCTAACATATTTCTTTGTCTGTGACTTTTTTCCTACAAGTTTGAACTTTCATTATGGTCCCACCCTACCCCGGGAGTCATGGTTTGAACAAATCTGAATCTACACTATCTGAGGATGCTTCCATATAATTATGACCAATCATAGCTTTGCTGTTCTTGAGAAGAAGATTTTTTTTAAAATTTGCCTATGTATTCCTATGCATAGCTTTAATCATCAATTGCGGCCCCCCAGTTTCCCAAGGGGGTCATGGTTTTTTTCAAACATGAATCTACACTACCTTAAGATACATCCGAATAGTTAATAACCAATCATGGCTTTGCTGTTCTTGAGAAGATTTTTTTTTATATATTCCTATGTAAAACTTTGATTGACCATTGTAGCCCTACCCTACCCTTGGGGGTCATGATTTGAACAAACTTGAATCTACACCACCTGAGGATGCTTCCATATAAATATGACCAATCACGGCTTTGCTGTTCTTAAGAAAAAGATTTTTTAAATAATTTCCTATATACTCCTATGTAAAACTTTGATTCTCCATTGTGGCCCCACCCTACCCCAGGGGTCATGATTTGAACAAACTTGAATCTACTCCACCTGAGGATGCTTCCACATAAATATGACAAATCATGGCTTTGCTGTTCTTGAGAAAATTTTTAATTTGTTTTCATATATACTCCTACCGTATATACTCGCCTATAAGTCGGTCCGCCTATAAGTCGCTTGTATTTTTTGAGGTTGTTTTGGAGGGATTTGACATTGACCCGCTTATAAGTAGGTACATGTTTTTGCCAGAATCAGTTGACAATTTCTAATCAATGCTCTGATGTTTTAACATGGTTTCGATTAATATTTTTAGAAATGATGCCGATATTTAATTTTTAAATCATTAAGAAAAATACATAATGCACATTGAGGATAAAAATACAGTTATTAAAATATGTAAACACTTGTCCTTTATGTATAATCTTAGAATAAATAAATGATATAATATATCCAGACTTTGTTCAACGAAAATCATGGGAAATGTTTATAAAATACTACATTTCGTCGTCCAGAAAAATACTAATCTTTTCATGACTTGCCTATAAGTCGGACATAGAGTTTTGGACCAAATTTTAACTCCCAAAAAAACGACTTATAGGCGAGTATATACGGTATGTAAAACTTTGATTGTCCATGTTGGCCCCACCCTGTCCCCAGGGGTCCTGATTTGAACAAAATTTAATCTACACCACCTGAGGATGCTTCCCTATAAATATGACCAATCATGGCTTTGCTGTTCTTGAGAAGAAGATTTTTTTAAAGATTTTTCCTATATATTCCTCTATAAAACTTTGTCCTTCCATCGTGGCCCCACCCTATCCCCGAGGGTCATGATCTGAACAATCTGAATCTACATCACTTGAGGATGCTTGCATATAAATATTACCAATCATGGCTTTGCTGTTCTTGAGAAGAAGATTTTTAAAGATTTTTGCTATATATTCCTATGTTAAACTTTGATCGTCCATTGTGGCCCCACCCTACCCCCGGGGGTCATGATTTGAAAAAACTTGAATCTACACTACCTGGGAATGATTCCACATGAGTTTCATCTTTCCTGGCCCAGTGGTTCTTGAGAAGATTTTTAAAAGATGCCATTAATTCTTCACAAATTTGTATTTATCTCCCCATGGAAGAGGGTGTGGTCCTTCATGTGAATAAACCTGAATCCCCTTCACCCAAGGATACTCTGTGCAAAGTGTGGTTGAAATTGACTCAGTAGTTCTGAAGAAGAAGATGAAAAGGTGAAAAGTTTATGACAACCACAACAACGATAATGACAACGATGACAGACAATGGTCAAATTTTGATCAGAAAAGCTCACTAATTCTTAATTACTGTATAACGGGTATTTTTACATGCTGCTAATTTTTACAAGTTTTATAAATCCGTAAAATTAAAACGCATAAAATTTCACAGAAGTAAAAGACACCTCGCGTAAATTTTCAATATCGTATGTATAAGAGTAATGCTTTCAGCTCTGTCCCTGGAGGCTATAGAATTAGTACTGTTGGTATTTTTAAGCACTTTTAAGTTGATCTTCACTTGGGGTCATACAGTAAATCTTAATTAACTTGTATAATTTATACAAACATCGTCAATTACCTAGTTACTCTACTATTAGTATTTTTACGAGACACATATTTTCTGATAATTACTTAATTATTACAGGTCTTCCAAATATATCCGTTTTTTAAGTTTTTGACCCCTTCTTCTGTTTTAAGTGCTTCAAATAAAAACTTCGACTTTTTAATACACTGTAATACTGTCAATTAAATCATGATGGTTTGAGAGTTGTCTCTCTGTTTCCGGTAAAATCAAGATGAGCACATTTTGTGCAACAATAATGATACCTAGCAATGTGTATTTAAAAAAAACGGGAATAAATGAAGGGAATATGGTATATAAAACATATAATTTATTGAATCATTATCACAGGAACAATGTCCTTTTTTCATTGGGTTGTCCAGACCCATTTATTTGTATGTGAACACATTCAAAGTGCTAACAATCATTGATCTGGAATTTTACCTCCAGTCAAATTTTCCAAGTGGTTCTTAAAAAGAAGTTGAAAATTTGAAAAGTTTACAGACAGACAGACAGATGGACAGACAGCTAGATGAACACCTAGACAAATGGATGGACATATAGATGGACAGATGGACTACAGACGAAATGTGATCAGAAAAACTTTTTGAGAATTTTTTTTTCAGAGGGTATGACAATATTTTTTTATGGTGCTTATGACTCACCCTATTTACTGGATAGACCTTTCTATAATGCATTTAAGGTAAGAAATTTGCTCAAACTGTGGTGGGAAAAAGTTTAAATTTCTATACTCATTCAGGAAACCATTTTAACATGGTACAATTTATAAAATTCTTCCAATGGAAATTACAATAAAGTCTTCACAGTTTGATAGTAAAAATGACACATGATTATGTGCTGTAGAAAAGCGAAGATTCACATTATTTACTCAGTGGGTTATCTACATTACACATCATGGAACAACCTGCTAAAATGGCACTTATTTCAGCAATCAGTCTACAGTAAATGTCTTAATGCATTTCACATAATTAAAGTAAATAAACAGATTTCCAGATTAGTATATTTAATAATAACAAGAGGCCCAAGGGCCTTAACGGTCACCTGAGTATAATACAACAATTTAGAAGTTAAGGTATTAGGGGTGTAATGGTCATGACCTTGAATATGACTAAATTCAGATAAGTTATAATGGACAACACTTCAGGCAATATTTCCCAAAGTTTCATGCAATTCTGTCCAAACATAATTTTTCTATACTTATTTTGATGCCTGTACCCTCAAACCACTGGTGCACCTTTAATAGACAAAAGGTACAGATGTAATTTTTACCTCTACTCTAGTTAGTCGCAAACAGTTGAATGTTTCATGTATTCAGCTGCAACACTAAGCAGTACAGATTGCATATATGCATTCTTTTTAGTTCAAATTCATCAGGTATGAGATATGAATACTTGTAATCAAGAGAACTTGTCTACTTTGAGTGACAATTTTGGCGATTTTTTTCATAAAACCGTTTGTAATATTCTGTCAAAGAAAAATATGGTAGGAAAGATCAATAAAAGAACAATATCAATTTTGTGTAAGGTGTGTTAGTGATAATATAACAACAAAAAAATGTATTCCATCCACAATATTATCTATATTCTGTATCATAGCGATGTACCCCTAAAAATTTAAGCCATTATTTTTTGTAAATGTCATGGGATATGTGATAATTAATGAAATGATGAGCATATATAAACAACAGGTTATTGTCATATTGAATACACTTCACTTTAGTCAGATTCATTTGTTCAGAAGATTGACCTCATCACAGTGACCTTGACCCAGACAAAGATTTGCAAAATGACCTACATTTTTGCAGCTTCCATGTGCATGAAGTTCTTTACAGATCAAAACATTACTATACAATGTAGACTAAAATATATACTGACAGAAACATAACCAAAAGGTAAAAAAAAAAAAAAAACTAATTTGTTCCCCACATGTATATAAAAAATATCAATAAAAAATATTCACCCCCCCCCCCTTTCTAAACGGTAAACTTATGTAAAAATAGAAAAAAATTAATTAATGTAAATAAAATAACAAAAATCACCCTAACTCAACCCAGAATAAATCATTTATTCCTATATCTAAAATTGATTTTTTTTTTCTTTAATGTTGTAAACATATTTACATTCTATTTTTTACTGATAAATTTTGAACATCTCAGATATTTTACGTATGGACATTGAACGTCACTTATAAATTGCAGATTCTACAATGCATGCAATGCTACCTATAACATACATTTTTTCCCCTCACACGGTTTGCTGATATTGACAGAATCACAAGAAATTGCGATGCGAATTTAAGGTATACTTCATTCGTTCTTCGAAAATGGTGCTATTTTTAGAAGTTGGAAAAACCCATGAAGTGTGTATTTGAAGGTATCATCGTTTTGACTGCATATTTTGTCTAACAAAATATATTAACGTGTTTTCTACGTAATATCATATTTATTCTCTCCTCCGCTAAGTTATATTCCTTTTCTTTGGTGTATGTTTTATGTTAGCGTCCTAGGCCGTCTTGACGACACGCCATTTTTGTTTACGAAGTACAGTGTTCCGAAAACTGCCGATGTCAAACACCTCGGTAAATGCCGTCATTTTTACCGGAAATGGCGTATTACACCTCTAATACCTTAAATACACTGATAGATGAAGCATTGTTGCCCTAAAGCAAGAGAAGTAGGAAAATCAGGATCAACAAAATAATTAGTCTAGTATTCAGTATCAACTCATAAATTAAGTTCTAATCTGTCCCCCACTTGACACTATCACCAAGCAGACTATTAACAAACTATTAGTGCTTCTGTACTATTTTTAAACCCATATTAAGACCTCTAGCATTGACCTATATTATGGTCTTTGAAGAACTTTTAATAAGATAAGTTATTTTTGTCTCATTTTTATTTATCTATTACTTACAGGTCTACCTGATTATTAAAACTAAGAAAGTTACTTTTTTAATTATACGATAAACATTCTTGCATAATTATTTTATTCTATTAACCTTTCAAATACATTATTTACAGTGATTAATTATCAAAGGTGAATGGAAAAGGGGAATAACTTCTCTCAGTAGAATACAAATTAATAGAGCCCTGCCCAGGACCAGAATGCTTAGACGAATGGTCCAGATGTTTAAAAATCTGGTAGAAATACGCTTATTCATATCATTTAAACTTTTACTCAGTTTGCTTCCGATATGTCCAGAAGCAGAGAAGAATTTCACAGGTACAATGCATTTTCACTACAGATTCAACAAAGCCTTACCCTAACACCAGAACCCAAGACCAAGGGTCAAGAAATTTACAAATTTGGAAGAGTTACCCTCATCATCATAACTATGGACTTCAAAGAATTAACACTTTTCCACTATATTATCAACCCCCCCCCCCCCCTCGTTATGCCAGAATCCCTGACCCTAGAACCACAAGATTTAAAAATTCTGTTTGAATTTCCCATTTTCATCATAGCTAAGCAATTTATTTATCAGCTCAACACTAAGGAGCAGACAGGATTAATTAATGATTAATTAATAGAATTAATGCTTTTTTCACTATATAATCAATAGAGCCCCCCCTCCTCAAGAACCCCAAAAACTGAGGCCATATATTTAAAAATTTTGGAAGAGGCATCCTTGTCTATCATAATCATGCACTTAGTTTGTTTAAATAATCTCCAGTAGCAGAGAAGAAGATTTTCAAAGAATCAATGCATTTTCACTATATAATCAATAGAGCCCTGCCCTAACACCAGAACCCCTGACCCCGGGGCCATAAAATTCACAATTTTTGAAAAGGCATCCTTATGCATCATAACCATGCACTTAGTTTGTTTAAATAATACCCAGGAGCAGAGAAGAAGATTTTCAAAGAATTAAAGCATTTTCACTATATAATCAATAAGAGCCCAGCCCTAACACCAGAACCCCTGACCCAGGGGCCATGGCTTTCACAATTCTGGAAGAGGCCCACCTCCTCATCATAACTATGTACTTAGTTTATCACCTTAATGCCAAGAAGCAGAGGAGAAGATTTTCAAAGAATTAATGCATTTTCACTATATAGTCGATAGAGCCCCGCCCTAACACCTGAACCTCTGACCCTGGGGCCATGAAATTCACAATTCTGGAAGAGGTACTCTTGCTCATCATAACTGTGTACTTATTTACTTTATTAAATATCCAGAAGCAGAGAAGAAGATTTTCAAAGAATTAATGCATTTTCACTATATAATCAATAGAGCCCCGCCCTAACATCAGAACCCCTACCCTGGGGCCATGAAATTCACAATTTTGGAAGAGGCACTCTTGCTCATCATAACTATGTACTTAGTTACTTTATTTAATACCCAGGAGCAAAGAAGAGGATTTTCAAAGAATTAATGCCTTTTCACTATATAATCTATAGAGCCCCGCCCTAACCCCAAAACCCCTGACCCTGGGGCCATGAATTTCATAATTTTGGAAGAGGCACTCTTGCTCATCATAACTATGTACTTAGTTCCTTTATTTAATACCCAGGAGCAGAGAAGAAGATTTTCAAAGAATTAATGCATTTTCACTATATAATCAATATAGCCCCGCCCTAACACCAGAACCCCTGACCCTGGGGCAATGAATTTCAC